GACTTTTTTGGCATCTTGTGTCAAGAATGCATGTCGTGACATGTTGATTGTAAAAGCATGATCAGTGCTACCTGAAATGAAGACATGTAAAATGGATTATGTGTGAAGTAAAGCTATAATAATTTTCGGGGGAGGTGGTAGAGAGAGAGGAGAGAGGTGAAAGGTCTTGCCTTCCCTGCAGCCGACCCTAGTTCAGTCCCCCACATACCGTTCCCTGAACTGCTAACGGTCGCTCCTAAGCACAGAACTAGGAGTTGCCTCTGAGTACCACTGGGCATGGTCCAGAACTTAGGGGTTGGGTATGCTCTGTGGACTTCTCACTCCTCCGCCAGCCCAGGAGGGATGCAGGTGTGCCCAGGAGCAATAAAATTGTCTCCATCAGAGGGCCGGAATGATAGCACAGCAGGTAGGGCGTTTGCCTTGCATGCAACCGACCCGGGTTTGATCCCCAGCATCCCATATGGTCCCCCAAGCACCGCCAGGAGTAATTCCTGCGTGCAGAACCAGGAGTGACCCCTGAGCATCGCTGAGTGTGACCCAAAAAGGCAAAAAAAAATATATATCTCCATCGGGTGTGTGTTCTTTTTCAGTCCTAAGAACCCTCAGCATTATGGCCTGTTTTGAGACACTCGTCAGAGTGAGCTGAGAGAACACGCTTGTAGTTGGCTTGATGAGTGGGGTTTCAGCTGCCTTTGCCCCCTGCCAGCCATGACTGGGCAAACTACTTTCCTCATCTTCGGGGAAGAAGGATGGTACCATTGTATTCACTGCTTCCCGTAAACAAGTTTGACCATTTTGTGTCTGTGGGTCATTCTCTTCCATGAATTTACCTATTTTTTTCCCCCTCCAGTTGTTTTTAATCTCCCTATCAGTCTCGTCATGCTAATATTTTCCTTTTCAGTTACTCCAAATTTTCTGTGTGTGTGTGTGTGTGTGTGTGTGTGTGTGTGTGTGTGTGTGTGTCTGAATTTGGTTTTACTTTGCTTCTTTTTTGTTTGTTTGTTTCTTTTGGGGTTTTTTTGTTTGTTTGTTTGTTTGTTTGTTTGTGGGGTCACACCAGATGGTACTCAGAGCTTACTTCTGCACTCAGGAAATCACTCCTGCAGGATTCAGGGCATTATGTGGGGGTGCCAAGGATCAAACCTGGGTTGCCTGCCTGCAAAACAAGAGTCTTCACCTGCTGTGCTGTCACTCCAGCACTCATGGTACTTTTGACATCATTTCCGGGCCTTTTCCCTAAGTCATCATCGCTCCTCTTGATGAGCTCATGAGGTTAGGAACATCCAAAGTACAGCCACCCTGGCACATACCATCACCTATTTTTTCCTGAACTTTATTTTATGTCTTCAGCACATGGAACAGGAAATGTTTTTTGTGAACAGTGCAAGATAAGGTTTCCATCTTCTAAAAATAACGCCCCATTTTTTTCTCTAGGCCCTGGATGCTGGCTCTGTCTTCTAACATAAGCTCCATGTAGAAGTATAGTGAACATTGGGCCCGGAGTAATAGTACAGTAGGGCATTTACCTTGCACACAGCCGACCTGGGTTCAATCCCCGGCATCCCATATGGTCCCCCAAGCACTGCCAGGAGTGATTCCTAAGCACAGAGCCAGGAGTAATCCCTGAGCACGCGCACACACACACACACACACACACACACACACACACACACATATATATAGTGAATGCACAAACACTAGCGCGAGACCCCTGTGTGACCCTGACGAGTGCACATAAAGGGTGCCCATCTAATCAGCTCTGGAGCTAGAAGCCAGAGTCTCTCTCACGCCTCCTGTTCCCTGGCCCCACTGAACCATTTCACAGACTTGTGACACCAAAGCAACAGAACTCGTGTTGCCTGTGTTTGAACTCGATTTAAATGCAGCCATGGACGGCGCAAGAGACATAGCAGGGAAAGCACTTGGACATAGGAGGGAAGGCACTTGCCTTGCATGAAGTTGCAGCCACCAGGCTCCTGGTTCGAATCCCCAGCACCCCATCAGGGTCACCTGAGCACAGAGCCAGCGATGGTTCTTGGACGCTGCGGGGTATGACCCAGTACCCTCTGGAAATAAGTAACTGCAGCCATGTAATACACACATGTCGGAGAGGCAGGGGGCGCCTCTCCCTTCTGGGTTTCATTTGCGTGCCACACACGGCAGTGGTTCCTTCTCATACCACTTCACAACTCTGTCCCCAGCCTTCGGTGGCCGTTCCTGCTGATTTCAGCTTGCTGTGGTTCCCTAGTGAGCAATGTCGAGTTTGGTTTTGTTTAGTTTGCTGACCAGATCTCCCAGAAATGTAGGTGTATGATTATTAGTTTTCCTAAGGGGCGAGGCGGGGTCAGCCAATTTACATTTCCGGCAGTGCAGAAGAATTCCATTTACAGCACAGACTGGCCAGAGATAGGCTTGGTGTCATTTCTTTCCCACTTACAGCCATCATTGGGGGGGGGGGGGGGGGCACTGTAATGACATGATTGATTACTTTGGGGGGGGGGTTGTTTGTTTTATTTGGGGGGCCACACCCGGCGATGCTCAGGGGTTACTCCTGGCTCTGCACTCAGAATCACTTCTGGCAGTGCTCAGGGGGGCCATATGGGAAGCCGGGGCTCGAACCCGGGATAGCTGCATGCAAGGCAAGCACCCTCCCCGTTGTATGATCTCTCTGGCCCCATGAATGATTACTATTATCACTTCCCTCTTGACTCCAGCCCACTGGTGTCTTTCCTTGTCATGCGCTCTTATAATTGCCTGGAAGCAGGATGACCGTACGGTTTAGGGTTCAGACTGGAACTTTCTTTAAGAGTGCACAGACGCTGTTAATTAGGCCAGGACAGCCAGCATAAATCAGGACTGCCCTCAGTGGCCAGGAGGTTTAACCACATCATATGATGTGGCAGCTGCCTGCTCTGCTCCTCATTTGACCCCTGTAAACCCAGCAGCCCCCGTTAAGAGTTCGTGAACTTGGCAAGCGCGTTCTTGCCTCAGGATCACTCTTCCCTAGCGATCGACACGGCCTGCCAGCCCTGTGGAAACGGCACCTCCGCCCTCTGTCCCCACAGTCAACTTCACTTTCGTGACTCTCCGGTACAACCTGAGAGTTTGTGTGTCCATGTGACCAGAGGCAGCCTCCCCGGGAGAAGGACCTTGACCCACGACGTGGTGGCCGCTTCCAGAGTCCCAGTGTTTGCGCCCTGGCACACAAGAAGCGCTTTGATGAGGTGTCCTCCCATTCTATAGATGGGAATCAGAGGGGCAGAGAAAATTGGTAACTAAATTACACGGCTGGAAATGTTGGAGCTAGGACGGGTCACGCTCAGAAAGTCGCGGCAAAGGGGCGCCTAGTGAGCTGCCGTGTGTGGAATAAGAAGCAAAATGAGGGAAATGAAAAAGGGATCATCGGCTCACACCTAAGGACAGTTAAAATAAGGGTCAGGAGGACTGCTCCACGGCTTGATAGCCGATCTCAGGCGCTGGGGGGAATGGTAGCTGGGATGGAGAGAGGAGCACTAAATAAATGATGGTTGGAGATGGTAGATGCACATTGAAAGTAAAGTATGGAGCCACCTCGGAGCTTTTTGAAAAGCCAGGTATGAGCCGGTCGTGACGGGGCGACTGAAACCTCATGGGAAGGGGGGCGTTTCTGGCTCGTCCTTCATGCCCTACCGAGGTCACGAGTTGCCCCCCACGAGCGGCTCTCCGGCATGGCCATGGTTCCAGAACCACAGAAACCAATCTCATAATTAGCTGACTCTCGGCAGAAATACTTCCAAGCTTAATAAGTAAAATACCAGAAATCCAAAATCGCAAAATCACAACAGCGGCCACGCGACATCGTTTGGTTCTTGTAACCAGCTGTAGAAAACAAATTATTTCACAATGCCTTTTCAGCAGGTCTGATTTTGGGGTAAGGTAGGTAAAGGTAAAGGCCCTCCCGTTGATCGTCGATTTGCTCGAGCGGGCCCAGTAACGTCTCCATTGGAGACTTTGTTGTTACTGTGTCTGGCATATCGAATACTCTCGGTAGCTTGCCGGGCTCTCCGAGAGGGGCGGAGGAATCGAACTCGGGTCGGCCATGTTGGCCGCTTGTAAGGCGAACGCCCTACCAGCTGTGCTATCACTCCAGTGTAAACTCTAAATAATAATGGCGCACCTTTTGTCGAAACAATGAATCTAATCAAAGTAGATAGTTAACTGGAATTCATCTGCCTCACAGGCAGTGGGAGGGTTGGGGGGGGGGGGGTTATTGGGGTACTTGGTGGTAAAAAATAAGTACTGGTGAAGGGAAATGTGTTTGATGATTGCATGACCGAGACTTAAACCTGAAAGCTTTATAACTTTTCCCACAGTGATTCAATAAACCATTGTCCTCCCGTTGTTCATCAGTTTGCTTGAGCGGGCCCAGTAACATCTCCATTGTGAGACTTCTTGTTACTGTGCTTGGCATATTGAATACTCTCAGTAGCTTGCCAGGCTCTCTGAGAGGGGTGGAGGAATCGAACCCGGCTAGGCCAGGCTGGCTGCGTGCAAGGCAAACACCCTACCGCTGTGCTATGGTAGAAAAGAAAGTAAAGTATGGACCAAACATGATGGCTGCTTGTTACCTATATTGCAAACCGTAACACCCAAAGGGATAGAGAGAGAAAGAGCGACTGTGCCCACCACAGAATCAGGAGGTGGGAAGGGTGGGGGTGGGAGGAGGGATACTGGGAACATTGGGGGTGGAGAATAGACACTGGTGGAGGGATGGGTACCCCAACATTGTTTGACTGAAACGCAATCATGGAAGTCTGTAAGTCTCTAAATGCATCTCATGATGATTCATTAAAATAAAAAAATTAAAATTTTTTTAAAAAGGAGGGGGGTCATCCGCATCAAAGTGTGTCCCGCTGGCCCGTGGCATATCCAAGGGCGTTTCGGTGGCGCTAAGCTAGTGTCGCCTCCACAAGGGGTTCTCATCTTGAGCCGGGGGCTTCCTCTGTGTTTGTTCTTGGCAGAAACTTAGGAACCGTGGGCGCTGTTGCCTTGGACAGCAAAGGGAATGTGGCTTATGCAACCTCCACGGGGGGCACCATTAATAAGATGATTGGTCGCGTTGGGGACACACCGTGCATCGGTAGGTAACCCTGGGCCCCTGCTGCCCTTCTCCGCCTTCCTCCTTGGTACTGGTAGCAGCATCAGAGAGTCCCAGTCGGGTTGACGGCGATTGTTTGGGGGGGGGGGGTTGTTTGTTTGTATGGGAGCCACACCCGGCGATGCTCAGGGGTCCCTCCTGGCTCTGCACACTAGAGCCATGTGGTGCTCAAGGGGACCCTATGGGATGCCAGGGATGGAACCCGGGTCTCCCACGGGCAAGGCCAACGCCCTCCCCGCTGTGCTGTCTCTCCGGGCCCCAGGGTGTGGCTTCCTGGACTGCACTGCCTGAACCCAGCCCGTCTCTCGAGCAGGATCTGGAGGTTACGCCGACAATGACATTGGAGCCATTTCGACCACGGGTCACGGGGAGAGCATCCTGAGGGTGAACCTGGCCCGGCTCACCCTTTTCTACGTGGAACAAGGTACAGAGTGCATGGGCACCGGGGAGGGGGGTGGGGTGGGGGGACAGGTGAGAGAGCTGGAGGAGTAGGCAGGACCCCCTTCCTGCGGGACTCCGAGGTCACAGGCCTCCCTCCAGCACACCTGCCTTTCGTGCCTCGGCCACCAGGGGGCGTGGTAGAGCCGGGCCGAGCCTAGGTTGGGTGGGCCTGGGGGCGATGCATCTCAGGTGCGGCTGGTGGTCCGTGTCGCACGTGACTGTCCCTCCTGCTGTCCGCTCTGGTCACGCGTGTCGTTTCTGCCCACCCCCACCCCTCTCACCCTTGCCCTCAGGAAAGACCCTGGAAGAGGCTGCAAAGACGGCGTTGGAGTATATGAAGTCGAAGCTCAGCGGCTTGGGCGGTGTCATCCTGGTGAACAAAAAAGGCGACTGGGTGGCCAAGTGGACGTCCACCTCCATGCCCTGGGCAGCGGCCAAGAATGGCAAGCTGTACTGCGGCATCGACCTGGGGGACACCAGAGTCACTGACCTCAAGGTCTCGTGAGGATGGGCCCCGAGTGGAGGTGGGGGGCCAGGTTCCCGGGGGGCGGACGGCTCCCCGGTGTGGAGACGATAGCGTAATCAATTAGATCTAGACATGGAAAACTCACGCAGTCTGGCCGTCGTTTTGTTGCCGTGGTCACTTAGTGTCGGAGGCACTGGTGGAGGGGCAGACTCAGCAGAGAGGAGAGGGGACCGTCCCTCTCTGAGGAGAAGCACCAGTGGGACCACAGAGAGTGGCCCGTGCCCCTGCAGGGCTGCGGCAGGGAGAGTAGGAAGCTGCCAGCCTGCAGAAGGGCACCGGGGTTGTGGGGAGGAGGGTGCGGAGGTCACAGGCTCCCTGGGCAGGGTTGGGGGGACACTCACTGAGTGGCAGACGTTCCCCAGGGGGCAAGGGCAGGTGGGAAGGAGGAGTTAGAGACGGGATGTGGGTGTGAGGCCGGAGCCACGGAACCTGCTGCGGTCTGTCCCCAGCCAGCACGCCAGCAGCCAGAGACCCATCACAGCCGACTTTTCTAAGACCCGTCAGAGCCACACATGTCCAGGCCCTTTCCAAGGCCTCTCTGGAAGCCCCTAGCTCCCTGAGCTGGAGGTAGGGGGCACAGCGAGGGACGGCGAGTCTGAGGATTTGCTGGGGTTCCCAGAGGTGTCCACTCACCAATGACCCCCTACAGGCCAGCACCTACCACAGACCCTCCGGGTCCTCATGGAGAGCCGCAGGGAACCCCCTCTCCCCCCCCAACAGGGTGAGATTGTCGAAGTGGCCCGTGAGACTTAACACATTCTAAGACTGTCCAGTGCTATGGGGTCCCCCCAACCACCACCACCCACCTCCAGCCAAATTGCGGGGGAGGGAAGGGGGAATGGTCCAGAATGTCATTTCCTCGGCGGAGAGTGTTCCTATTCGTTGCTTTTCATACTGGAAATGGTCTTCCTGCGGTGGCTGCGTGTTCGTTCTGTTTCTCTTAACCCGTCGGAGCTTACCTTCTCTGTGGAAAGAAATTGCCTTCACGTCCCCGTCCCATGTGCCACTAATAAAATGTATTTTGAACGAAGAGCAGCGTGGTCAGGCGTCACTGATGGCAAGGACCAGCGTGTGCACGACTCTCCCCGGCCTGCCCCCCGAGGCAGGAGACTGGGCAGGTCAGGAGCCACCACTTGGCCACGACACTGCGTCCCGCCCTGTGGCAGAGTTTTTCGAAAGAGTTGCCCTTCCTGTGGGTGAGTGGGTGAGGGGAGAAATGGAAGCCTGCGGGCAGGTGTCGGCAGGTTTACGGAGCAGCCTCCACGAATTTTGCCAGCAGCACTCACCCGAGTCAGCCCAGCCCCGAGTCCACGGCAGCCCTGGGAGACGGGGCTGATCTCGTGGGGACACATCCTGTGAACCCCCCACAGCTATGGGCCTTTATGGGCTGATCACTAGTCTGGGAGCCTGGAAGTCCTGAGTTCCAGCTGTGAATAGATTTGATCTCTCTCTCTCTCTCTCCCCCCCCCCCCACCTGTCTCTCCTCTCTTTCATCATACCTGGGGATGCTCAGGGGTTACTCCTGGCTCTGCACTCAGGAATCACTCCTGGCAGTGCTCAGGGGACCCTATGGGATGCTGGGGATTGAACCCTAGTCTGGGGATCCTGAAAGTCCAAAATCCAGTTGTGAATAAATTTGTTTGTTCTCTCTCTCTCTCTCTCTCTCTCTCTCTCTCTCTCTCTCTATCCTTCTCCCTTTCTCTCTCTCTATCCATCTCTTTTCCCCTCCCCCTCCCTTTCCTCTCCCTCTCCCTGTCTCTTTTTCTCTCTCTCTCCCTCCCTCTCTCTCTCTCCATCCCCTCTCTCTTTCCTCTCTCTCTCCCTCTCTCCCTCCCTTTCCCTCTCCCTCTCCCTGTCTCTCCTCCCTCCCTCTCTGTCTCCCTCCCCTCTCTCCTCTCTCTCTCTTTCTCTCTCTCTCTCTCTCTCTCTCTCTCTCTCTCTCTCCACACCTGGTGATGCTCAGGGGTTTCTCCTGCCTCTGCACTCAGAAATCACTCATGCCAATGCTCAGGGAACCATATGGGATGCCGGGGATTGAACCCAGCAGCAGCCGCACGCAAGGCAAAGGCGCACCCCAAAGGCACACCCCACAAAGGCAAAGTCGTCCTATCGCCCCGGTCTAGTTTTGGTTTCGCATCAGGCCCCCTCTCCTTGGTGGGAGGAGGCTGGGCTCACATGGTCTTGTAGCTTTTCCTGGCGATGGTCAAATTTCCACTTCTCAGTCCCCACGTTGATGCCGGCGCAGCCAAAGTGCCTCAACTCAGCTGGGCCGTGTCTTTCAAGGACCTCACTCTGAAGAGACTCGGCCACATCCTGCCTGGCTGCAGTGCCTGATGCCTCTGCTTCTGCCCCAACAGGGTGGGGGTGCAGGGTGGGGGCACACAAAACAATTACATCAGGGTTCTAAAGGGAAATGAGGGCGACATAAGGCTCACTAGGCTGGAAGTTCAGGTTTGCGCTGGTCAGTGCTGCCTCTGGCTAGGGAAGAGGGTAGGAGGCGCCCAGACCTCCAGCCAGCAGCGGCTTCGTCAGCCCATCTGTGCAAACCCAAGTATGCCCATGGCCCTCAGGCCCGGTTCTATAAAAATCCTCCTCTAGCTTGGAAATGCCAAGCCGGGTGGTTCTCTTTCACCCCAAGAGCTCTCTGCTTGCTGATAGGCACCCGAAAAAGCACAGTCGAAATGACATCTGCACCTGTATGTTCATTGCAGCACTGTTCACAATAGCCAGAATCTAGAAACAACCCGAGTGCCCAAAAAACAGACGACTGGTTAAAGAAACTTTGGCGCATCCGCTAGGGGAAAAGGCAGCTCAGATAGAGAAGGGAGCACCAAGTAAAGGGTGTTGGGAGGATCCTCCCAGGATGGGAGATGCATGCTGAAAGTAGACTATAGACCGAACATGATTGCCATTCAATGCCTCCTTTGCAAACCACACCACCCAAAAGGAGAGAGAGAACAAAAGGAAATGCCCTGCCACAGAGGCAGGGTGGGATGAGGGGGATGGGGGGTGGGAGGGATACAGGGATCAGTAGTGGTGGAGAATGGGCACTGGTGGAGGGATGGGTACTCGATCATTGTATAACTGAAACCCAAGCACAAAAATTTGTAAGTCTACAACTGACCTCATAGTGTTTCACTAATAACATTTTTTTTAAAAAAAAGAAACTGGTGCATCTACACATTGGAATACTATGCAGCTGTTAGAGATGAAGCCATGAAATTTGCTTATAAGTGGATAGACATGGAGAGTATCATGCTAAGTGAAATGAGTCACAAAAAGAGGGACAGACATAGAAGGACTGCACTCATTTGTGGACTAAAAAATAACATAATATGAGACTGACACCCAAGGGCAGTAGACACAAGGGCCAGGAAGATTGCCCCATAGTTGGAAGCCTGTCTCATGAGCGGTGGGGGAGAAGGCAGCTGGGATGGAGAAGGGATTACTAAGACAATGATGGTTGGAGGGATCGTTCAGGATGGGAGATGTGTGCTGAAAGTAGATAAAAGACCAAACGTGATGACCTCTCGGTATCCGTATTGCAAACCATAATGCCCAAAAGTAGAGAGAGAGACTGGGGGAAATTGCCACGGAGGCAGGGGGAGGGTGGGAAAGGGGGATATACTGGGGACATTGGGGGTGGGAAATGTGCACTGGTGGAGGGATGGGTGTTTGATCATTGTATGATTGTAACTAAACATGAAAGCTTGTAACTGTATCTCACGGTGATTCAATGAAAAAAAGAAAGAAGGAAGGAGAGAGAGAGAGAGAGAGAGAGAGAGAGAGAGAGAGAGAGAGAAACCATTTCTGTATTTCTGTCCTGTCCCCTCTGTGCCACTAGAGGGCAGCAACCTAAAAAAAGAAAACAAGTAGTCTTTATTTTCACCTACTCCAGGGTGTTTGAGAGAATTGTAACCCTCCCCAATCCCTCCCTGAAAAAATGCCCCCAAATCAACCATTTCTCTGACTCCGGGGACTGCTCGCCACACACACTGCCTGATGATTGGGCCCCAGCGGAGCGAGGTCAGGAAAACAGAGACATTGTCGTTTGGCCCAAACTCACCAGCGCCCAGAGCAACATCCACCGGAACAAGAACATATTTTGTAATAACTTTTCCGCATGTGCCTTTCCACCATGAGGGAAATCATGTCTCTCCCTGCCTCTCCTTTGTGTCACTGTCCGTCGTTTTCAGTCAACCAAGGCCCCCTGCCTTCCCGAGACCGTTTGAGCAGCGCCGTACAGCTGTATGACTGTAAATTGTCAGTTGTTCTATTATCTTTGTTGTTACTCTCCTACCGAGCCCATAAATGTTACTTACCTTAGGCATAGATAAATGGGAATTAAAAACAGCATTCTCTGCAGTTCCAGGCCTTTCCTCGGAGTCTTGGAATGCATCCCTGAGTATAAAGGGTGGGTAGCTATTAGGCAAAGAGAGTTTGGGGACAGGGAGGTGACTCCAAGGACTTGAGCATGCGATTTTTATCTAGGAGCCCTGGGTTTGATCCACAGCCCCCTCAGAGTCCCCCAGGCGACACCAGGAATGACCCCAGAGCACCATGCCAGCTGTAACCTAAAAAAAAAAAAAAAAACAAGCACAACAGAGGTAAATTTGAGCCCAGTTCATTGTTCTCACCAGAGATACCCCCCGCCCCTCCTCCCCCCAGCCTGGCCAGCTCGGAAATTCAGGTATCGGCACGGGTGCAAGTGTGAGCCATAAAAAGGGAGTGGGGCCGAGTTTCAGGTCAGAGGTGAAACCAGGTCCAGCAATGGGATTCCGTGTGAAGGTTTGGGCCTGGAACACAGATCAGCACGTCCCATTAGTGGCTCCATCCTTTGGATAAACACAACCAAAGGGCCACACAGAGACTTAGCCTTGCTGCCCTCATCCTTATACAGGAATGGAATGCAGCATGTCTCTGTGAGAAGCAAAAAATGTGCAAGATGCAGAAGGAAGGCTGCAAAGAAGCTGGAAGTCCCACACAGAGCATCGTGCAGAGCTGGGTG